CCACCAAAAGGCATGAAGTTCTTGGACACAGCATATGAGTCAAGGTCCTAAATTTCATCAAATAAATATAAAGTAAAATTAGCTGCTAAAAATTGAAGTCATTTGAACAAACGACAATGATACTCAGTCCATCCCAGGGACACGAACCTTCCAACGCCATGGATTGAACTCAAGGGGATCCTCGAATGTGTTGGGACTTAACTGAAGTGCAGAGGTGACAACCATAATGGTCCAGCCTTCTGGAATTGTAAACCCTGCAAAGCATTTACTGGAAACATTTTAGTAAGAATCCATTTGCTGTTAAAAGCAAAAGGCCTAAGCTATTTGTAATTGAGGACTTACCCTTTACTGGGATATCTTTCAAAGCTCTACGTAATAAGCCAGGGGCAACATTTCCCAGCCTAAGAATTTCATTGATAACCTATATGTTTTCCGAGGACCAGCAAATTATAAGTCTTTTTCTAAGCTGTTGTGCAAGGAAGAAGGAAATGCTTGTTGAGCTTCGGCAACTAAACTGAAGAGTAAAAGTCATCGATTTATATTCGTCCCATGTGAGTGAGGAATTTGGATTTTCCCTGTTTTTGAGAATTGCCTCATGCTCAGCCTGACCACAAAAGATAATTGATCATTAGGGTCTTAAACAGAGGAGTTATGAAAATGAAATTGAAGCTCAAACTTTGTCTACGTACCGTCAACTCTTCTACAACAGAAGGATGCTCTGCCAGTAAACTGAAAGCTAATGCTATTACTGTAGAAATAGACTCAAAGGTGGCAAACAAGCCCCAAAATACCAGCTGAACTGAAAAATCCTCTTACAAAAAATTTTCCTTAAGCCTTTTGAGGGAGCAGCTTCTCCTTAAGCCTCTCAGCACCAAAGTGATTCAAGAAAATGCTCCTTACATACTTGTGTACCATACCAACTGCGTTCATCTTAGATTCGCCTTCATGGACGAAGATCTTCGAAAACGTGTCCAAGTACCACAGTTCCACCATCCTCCCTTCTTGCTGAAATATGTAGTTATTGAACTCTGGATCAGCTGTGATTACAACCTGTCTACCCGCCAAACTAGTCCGAAATATTGGTCCATATCTGCAAGGCAAAGAAAAGAACATCTTGACTGAACCAGGCAGGTAACTTGGTATATATCAAACTCCACTTTTTTTATTGACAGTCTAAATACATAACATAATAAAATATAAACTCGATTGTACATATTATACTTGTACCTCAGTTGAAAGGCTTTGTTTGTCTTCTACTACAACTTTCCATTTCCCTTTGGAGCTGAAAGGCTCTCCAGAGCCACCCCACAAGCTCCAAGCTTGCATCTCATCCTCAGAGTGGCCTTCATACTCAATCCCACACACTTTGGTGTTGAATTTGAGATGCTTGAGCAAGTCAAAATGGTGAGCATATGATTTGATGTAATCCAAAACCTGATGTTGGTTAGGAAAGTCCTCTGTTACAGAAGATGGCCATGGGAAATCTGAGAATCGGTAAGCTTCTCTAGGAGTTTGGAGCTTGGTGGTCTCAATAGTTTTGGTCCAAACTCCTCCAATGGTACTTGCAGATTCAAACACAATGGGCTGAAAGCCCTTTGAAAGTGTGCACTTGCAGGCAAGAAGGCCACTAGTTCGAGCTCCTATAATGGCAACTTTCTTTCCCACATTCTGATCTAAGAAGTGTGTTTGCTGCTGCTATGATCAGTCTTTGTATGCTTATGTAAATAGTATATATAAGCATACACAATTACATGTTATATTCAATAATATATCATACATCCTGGTTCGGATATCTGTATGAGTTTCCTAGAGATTTCAGATTGGATTCGGATAAATATAAATAAATAAATAAAAATTTCCTTGGAACTTGGTCTAACATCTTCAATGTGGATTATAATTTATATCAAGGGAGTGCATAAGCTACCATTCCCACCCTTATCCCTGCCACCCAGGCCACCATTTCTCTGTCTTGTCTCTACCACAGATCTACCCCTACAAGTTACAACCATGAAATAAGTAGGTGCAATACAAAAGCAAAATACAAATCAAACTGGTTCTCCAAATTGTTGAATGTATTTTTTCGGTAAATTGATTATATTGATAAGGGGCGATGAGTCATGTTTATTGAAAGGATATTCCATTTTGATCTTCCATATAACACTTTTTTATGTACATTGAAGGTTATGAGTAATGTTCGTGGATTTTTACTTTATTTTTTATTTAAACAATAAAAGACTTGTTAACTTTAAACACTTTTTTTTATGAAAAAAGAAAAAAAAGAAAAAATAATTTAATACTTATGTTGTTGACGTGTCATGTTTTAAACGGACATATTAATAGAAATGTTCAAATATTACAAAATGCGAATAAATGCACGACCTCTAAATGTAGAGGCTCGAAATCTAGAACAATAATATTAAAACTACAAAGAAAACAATGGTAGATATACACATGATGTGGTACCAAAAATAAAAAATCATATCATAAAGTTTTTAATGGATCCAACTGTTCACACATGTATTTCTGTGCTTACTTTTTTTATTCTCATCAAATCATATAAGTCTTTTGACTTGAGATCTTATTATGATGCGACATAATTTTTTTTTTTTTTCAATTATAAAAGGGGGTAAACCCTAACGAACAACAAAACAAGATGGGACATATAATTTGATATGCATGAGATGAATATTAGGTCTTGTCCAAAAATTCAAAAAGGTTAGCTGGAATTAAAAAAGTGGAAGTATACTTGGGAAGATGGTTGGTTAATTAACCTTTGGTATGCTCAATTTTCCAAACCCAACATGAAATTCGACTATGAAAAAATATTTGTTCAATTAACCAATTTTTTTAAGGGAGTTTCACTAAAACACCGAAAATAGGAGCTGAAATTAAAAAAAAATCCAGCACCCAAAACACTTTATAAACATACCCAAAACCCATAATTACACACACTCAAAATTCGTTTATAAACACATCCAAAAAATATACAATTGTTGGCTTTGGGATTGATTTTGAGTGTATTTCTATGTTTAAATAGTATTTGATTTTTTTTATAAATATATATATATAAGATTGAATTTATTTATAAATTTGTATTTTTTTAACTATATAATATACGAGAAGAAAAAACAAACTCGAATGTAAAGAACGAACACTATCTTTATCAACTTTCTTCATTAAATTTGCAATTAACTAATGTTTTTATGTCACCTGAAAAGATTCGGATGAGATTGTACTTTGCTTTACATATCTGGCCTTGCAAAAAAAAAAACAAAAATTTGTCATATGTTGTTGACTATGCTGTACATGCTTATATTGGTATTCTCTAAAAAAAAAAACTTAAACTAATTAAGAAATATTATCCTTTTTGGGGGTCAAATACTAAGAAAATGATGATGATGGTTCGTGTCCACCATTCAGATTTGGAAAAACATAACATGGCAGACAGGCTCACCAGATTTGCTGTAGATTTTTTAGGCTGATATTCAAAGATTGATCATGATCATGATAATACAAAAAATACTAAAGGCTTCGGTCAAAATGGACGGCCCGATAGAATTTAATTTCTTCTACCAGACTTACACGTGGCCTCAATCTGAGAACTTATCTCCAGACAGAGTGATGTTGAAAAGTGGGGAAAGCCTGTTCTTTTATAAAAGCCTAGAGCTACTGTTAATCTTCAGCCTTTTTGTACAATGGGGCTGGCCCATTGAGTAAATTTCTCTAATACCCAACAGATTATCCATTAAGTTAATTTCTAACTTTAATTTGTCAGCTTAATTTACTGTATATTTCACAACAACCCGCCCCACTGTTCGTGGGCCTTCAGTAGATGGCTCGAGGAGGCTGGGTTCAAGTAGGGAGAGTCGTTCTATGTTGAGTGTCGAGATGTATGGACCTTACATGTGTACTGGCAGCCCTCATTATAGAATTTCGCTGAGAAGGGATGACAACGAGGCATGAACCCGGAATGGGTCCCTGAGAGCCATTCTTCACTTTTCTTGGGCTTGCATAAAATCTACATACATCTTTTTATTTTTTATTTTTTATTTTGTTTTCTCATAACTTCACATATTAGTCAGATGATCAATTATCATAATATCGTAATAAGGAAGTTGAGGACGTAAAGTAAACCTAGGCTTAGTAATAGTAGTCTACATGTTGCTGTTTTTTGACAGGATCCTAAGGGCTTTTTAGTTTTTTGAAATTTGGCCAGTTGTCATTGTATGACTGGTTATGTTAAGAGATATGTCTATTGGGTAAAGGTTGAACAGGGTTTTAAATTTTAGGGAAATGGCCCTCAGTGCCACCCATTTTATAATTTTTTGTCAAAATACCACACCTCCCCAAAAATTTTAAAACTACCACCTATAAATACATTTTTATTGCCCACTTATTGCCCACATAACACTTTTTCTGAAATTTATTTCTCTCTCTCTCTCTCTGAAACCCAGTTCTTCCTCTTCCTCTTTGTTTTCTTCTCTACCCAAATCCAAACCCCAATTTCGTCTTCCTCATGAAGAAGAAGATCAAGAACAACCTGCAAAACCCATAGCTTTGCCCTCAAAACCTAGTTCTTCCTCTTCCTCTTTGTTTTCTTCTCTACCCAAATCCAAACCCCAATTTCGTCTTCCTCATGAAGAAGAAGATCAAGAACAACCTGCAAAACCCATAGCTTTGCCCTCAAAACCTAGTTCTTCCTCTTCCTCTTTGTTTTCTTCTCTACCCAAATCCAAACCCCAATTTCGTCTTCCTCACGAAGAAGAAAATCAAGAACAACCTGCAAAACCCACAGCTTTGCCCTCAAAACCTAGTTCTTCCTCTTCCTCTTTGTTTTC